AAATGACATACAGACAAAGGGCTGATATCCAAGATCTATAAAGAACTCCTCAAACTCAACACCCAAAAAAGCAGATAATCATGTTAAAAAATGGGCACAAGACATGAACAGACAATTCTCCAAAGAAGATATACAAATGGCCAACAGACACATGAAAAAATGTTCATCATCATTAGCCATCAGGGAGATGCAAATCAACACCACAGCGATACCACCTTACACCAGTTAGAATGGCAAAAATTAACAAGACAAGAAACAAGTGTTGGAGAGAATGTGGAGAAGAGGGAACCCTCTTACACTGTTGGCGGACTGCAAGTTGGTGCAGCCACTTTGGAAACAGTGTGGAGGTTCCTCAAAAAATTAAAAACAGAGCTACTCTATCACCCTGCAATTGCACGACTGGGTATTTACCCCAAAGATACAAATGTAGTTAAAAGAAAGGCACAGGGTACCCCAATGTTTACAGCAGCAATGCCACAATAGCCAAACTGTGGAAAAAGCCAAGATGCCCTTCAACAGATGAATGGATAAAGAAGATGTGGTCCACATTTACAATGGAATATTACTCAGACGTCAGAAAGGATGAATAGCCAACTTCTGCATCAACATGGATGGGACTGGAGGAGAATATGCTAAGTGAAATAAGTCAATTATCTGATGGTTTCACTTACTCGTGGAACATAAGGAAGAGCACAGAGGACATGAGAAGGAAGCGAAAATGAAGGGGGAGGGAAATCAGAGGAGTAGATGAACCATGAGAGACTATGGACTCCTGGAAACTGAAGGTTTCAAAGGGGAGGGGTTGGGGGATGGGTGAGCCCAGTGATGGGTATTAAGGAGGGCACATATTGCATGGAGCGGTGGGTGTTATACAAACAATGAATCATGGAACACTGCATCAAAAACTATGACATACTATATGACTAACTATATGGTGACTAACAACATAATAAAAATTAAAAATTTTTTTTAAATGAAATAATAGGTATTATTCTTATCCTTTCAAAAATCTTACTATGCATTCTTCTATTACATATACCTAGCTCCAAATTGGAAAAAAAAGATATCATTCCCAATTTGTCACTGCATTTATTTCTTTTGTGCTTCATGCAGAACTTATTTTTAACTTTTTTTCCTCTTAATGTTCTGGAAGTACAATTTGTTTTGGTAACCATACAGTTTTAAGAATTTTTAAGACCTTTCCCACAAACTGGACAATCTCATTCTCAAGAAAAAGTATCTCAAGATTCCTCGATTTTGAAAAAATTTTGTACCCTTAACTGATAACTACTACTTTGGAAAAAATTTTACTGATTCCCAAATTATTAGCTCACTTTTCTTTAGATAATTATCAGATGCTTCCTTGTTTGAAGAACTAAAGTACTAATGCAGAATCTATCCAAATTGCAGTAATCTGAGCTAGATCACCATCTTTCTTCCTTCTACAGCCGATTATTAAAATATTTTAAAATTCAGTATTAGTTTTACTCAGAAAGTATCTAAGAACAAACAGCATTACCCTTTTTTTTTTTTTAGTTAACATATAATGTATTACTTGCTTCAGGGGTACAGGTCTGTGAATCATCAGGCTTAAAGGATTCACACCACTCACCACAGCACATAGCCTCCCCCGTGTCCATCACCCAGCCACCCCATCTCTCTCCCCGCAAACTGCATTATCCTAATGCAATATATTTTAGAAGCACAAATATCCAAAATTTAATGAGAACATATGTGGACACAAGAAATGGGGTTTTTTTTGGTCATTGTTGTTGTTTTTAAAGATTTTATTTATTTGAGAATGTAAGCGCAAGCAGGGGATCGGCAGAGGGAAAAACAGACAACCCCAGGAGCAGGAAGCCCGATGAAGGACTTAATCCCAGGACCCTAAGATCATCACCTGAGCCAAAGGCAGATAACTGACTGAGACACACAGAGGTCCTCACAAAACAGGTTTAGCAAGATAGAAAACTAAGTCTCTCTTGTCTGTATTTTTAATTTTCTGATACTACATTGTTTGACACATGAAAACCCCTGCCTGGATGGGGAGAGACTGCTCCTCTGAGGCTAGCCAATTCTCTGAAATACCAAAGAACCCAGCAAAGAGTTTGCATTTCATACTCAAACCAACCAATCGAGGGCCATACCTTCAGTTAGGCTTCGGCACAAGAGGACGTAATATTCCTCTGCCTTAATCATCCCAGGGCCAGGTACCAGGCAGGAAGGAAACAGGAATGTTCCAATAGATTAGAGTCCACCAAAACTGTTCAAACCAGCCAATCCTAAACCATTTCCCTACTGTGCCTCGCCCTTCCCTGGGAAACCCCAGTAAGGCCATGACCTAGGCTTTCCCCTTACCCTGTTCCTACAACCTGACCCATGCTTTTGCTTTGTACTATGGCCCTCTGTGGCAAGTCTCCTGAGTATAACTTTTTCCCAAGCTTCCCTTGTGGCTGACTATCCATCTTGTAAAAGAACACAGAACAAAACTAACAATTAAAAAAATAGACAACAATACAGAGTCTATGTGAATCAACCCAAGATTCAAGAAAACCCCTAAAACTGTATTAAAAAGAGGGGTGTCTGCATGGCTCAGTCAGTTAGGCCCTTGGTTTCAGTTCAAGTCCATGATCTCATGGATCGTGAGACTGAGAACCATGTCAGGCCCTTTATCTCTGTCCCTCCCCGCTAATATGGTTTTTCTCAAAGAAATAAATAATATCTTTTTTAAAAAAACTATATTAAAAGAATATGTTTTTAAAATGTGTAAAAACAAAACTACCAGAACAAAAATATTACAAACAATACCCATAAAAATAAAATAACTCATTCATTTTCAAATAAATCCATCTTGAACCAACTATACATGAAAAAAAAAAAAGAATGTGTTATAGATATGAACTGAACAAGTCCTAGATAAACTTTGAAGTTTTGGGGGAAAAAAAGGCACTCACATCAGGTTGTAGTCTTTTTGCCCGCCGACTATAGCTACTAAACTTGGAAGGCTGCACAGACTGTCTAAAGGGAATGCTGTGGGGTTTGTATTCCTTGTCTTTTTCCTCATTGTCAAATGGGTGAGTGTTACACTGCTGGGAACATGAGAAAACCTAAGATCAGGAATTCAGTCACATTCATAATCAGCAAATAATGAAATGATTCCTTTATCTTAAATCTCTAACAATGAAAGCTGTACTTCCTTCTTAATTACACAAATTTACCCTTTATATTTTCTGTGATAAAAGCACACATACAATGAGAATTCTTCTACATATTTGCTTATATATAAGCAGTAAAGCATAGTGGAGAACAGTCTTTGGAAACAACTACCAGGTTTGAACCTAGGCTTCTATTCTTACTTTGTTTGCCTTGTGCTGTTCCAATACCTTTGTCAGAAAAGTGGACAATATAAATATCAAATACAACAGAATTACACAGATTAAGTAAAATAGCCATTTATAAATATTCACATATACACAGTTTTACAAAATGCCCTGAAAATAAAACTTAAAAACGTTATTTTAGATACCCAGCCAAATTAGTTCCCACTCCTTGAGTTAAACCCAGTCTCAAAATATTATCCTTAAACTAACTCTCTTTTATCTGCACTACCCTTAAAAAGCTTAATAATTCCATAAGATAATTATTTTTATCACAGAGGATGCTTTTGTCTTATACTTTGATAGCCACTCCATAAAAATATCCTAGTAACCTTCAAGAGAGGAAGACAGAAAAAAAATCCTCCAATTCTCACATACCTGCTCTAGCATATCTAAAACTTCTTCAAAATATACTTCATACTTCTTTTCAAACTGAACAATATTTTCCAGAGCCAATTCCCAAAATTTCCATCAATGTACCTAAAGATTCTAAACCTTGACTGCTCAGGAAGAAGCTCAATCCAGAAAAAGGAAGACAAGAGTAGAAAGCAAAATCATATTAGGCCCCAAATCAGCTAAGAGCCCTCACCACAAGGTTGGCTCCGGACTGAAACATTTCATAGGGATAAATGATGCGCTCATAATGAGATCGTAGCAGGGAGCCAATATTTTTGCCTGGCGGATAGTTGAGTCGTTGGGCAACTCGGGCCCAACGACGGTCTTTGCAAATGGCTTCATAGCCACCTTCCTCCATCACAATCTGCAAGGATAAGAAAGGTGTAAATTAACTGTATGCAAACTAAGAGACCTAAACAACAGCAGTGAGGGTTAAATATGAGCACTGTGCACTCCCACCTATATCAATTGTTCCAAGGTGAAAAGATTTTGTAAAGAAATATGGGCAAGCTCTGTGTTGTGTCCTTTCCTGCTTAGAGACACAAAATTTCAACCACAGGGTTTCCTACCCAGGGGTTTTTACTTCTTTTTCCTCTTTAAAGCAGAAGTACTCTCACCTTACTAAGGCTGTAGAGATCCAAGATCCGCCGTTCCACATTGGGAATTTTTAATGAAGAACCTTGGATTTCCCAGAATTTTGCAATCTGATCCAAATAGTTCAGTTTTACTCTGGTCTGAGCCTGGGAAAGAGAGAGTCCTATGAGACTGGTTTACTCCTTAACTTGACTGTGGTCCAATGTGACTTGAATGAACAAGTATTGTTCCGTACATTTACAGTGCCCTACTAGGCTAGAATCTACATTTCACTATCTTACCACTAGTGTCTAACAAAGGCTCAACTAAGCTGATTCTTCAATCTAAAAAGAGAGCTCAAAGAGTGATGCCTCAAAGTCAAAATCTTTCATCCCTAAATCTAAAGCACCATCCTTAGGTTTAGTAAAGGAAAGGCTAAGCAAGACCATTTAGGCTTAATCTAATATCTTCCTTACAGCATGCTGTAGGCTATATACACTGAAAAAAATGAAGTATTTTTCTATGTTATGTCAAAAATTTCCATAATTTCTGAATTACCCTTCTCTTATGCTAAGTCATTTTGGAATTTCTAATTTTTAACTAAGGCCAAAACTCATAATAGCAAAAGAAAATACCACATCATTCATAAGCTTTCCATATTTAATACTACTAAGCTGAATATGCAGGCTATTGACTGCTTTAAAAAATAAAATTTGTCTTTCCTAATTACTCTGACCCATATCAAATACAATCCATCTTATTCAAGAACTTATATACTACCACCAGTCAAGTGGAAAATTTAGTTGACCATGTATCTGTCCTGAACTTTGCTCTTATGAAGAAATCAGGGAAATTCCACAATGATAAAATATGTTGGCACTGGCAGGAAAAAAATCTGTCTTCTTGCTATCCCTAATTTTAGCCCATTCTATGGCAGAAAAATATGTCATTCAATTCTGAAAAAAAAAAAAAAAAAAAAAAAAAACCTCTTCTTCATGTGCTGTCATTTTGCAGAAGACTTTATAAGAGATGAATATTCTGGGAAAAAATGGAACTGGTGTTAGAATCAAATATTATCTCCTTTAAAAACGTGTATGGTTAACTACAGTTATATAAGTATTAGTAAAGCATGATCAGAGCTCAAATTCCTGCATAATCGGATGACTTTCCATTTTACCTCCAGTTCATTTAGCCTCTGAATGCGAGGTGTGAATCTGAAGTTGTCAACTTCTACTGCAAAGGGAGGTTGCCAGTCCTAGAAGAATATAAAAGATCTTATTATGGCATAGCAAAGGATAAAGATGGCAAGAACTAGAACCATTTGTTTTCAGTATAATATTCCTCCCTTTTAAGACTTCTGGTTGCTATTTTTTGCTCCTAAATGTTCAAATGGTTGCCTCTTTAATATCAAGTAAATGAAAAAGAAAAACAGCAACAACAACAACAAAAAAAAAACACCTTTGAAATGCCTTGGTACGTGTCCTCCAACAAAACAAGGGGAAAAAACAAAACAAATCCTGAGAAAAGGCCTAAAAGATTAATTTGAAAGTAATGAAGCACACCTCAATGTGGACTCACTTGTTTGGGTTCTTACTAAAGTGAAGAAAAATGTAACATGGATCAGAAGTGATTTTGAAAGCTGGATCACTATTTATTCACACTCCCAACAGTGTTTTAAGAAGAGAATCATAATTCGTAGTAGTGAGAAAAATATGTACAAATAGAAGAAAGAAATGTTGTAGTCAGGTTAAGCATCTAACAAATGAGTGTGCAGTAAGAGGACATGCTGAATTTTCATTTCCGTCATTTAAAGTGATAGCCTAGACGCAGTTAAGTTTTCATTCTTAATTCAGGGACAGGTAACAGTTTCAGTTAGCAGTTTTGAGTAAAACAAATCCAGAAGAGAGACCTGTCCGTGAAAACCAAATTAAATAGAAGGAAGATTTCACAACCGCCCGCATTCTTACCTGAGTTTCTTACAACACGAGACCAAAGGCCCAGGGGTTAATAAGAAAATCTATATAATTCTTTTTTTCTGCTTTCAGTTACATATCAAGACTTGTAAGTACATTTGAACGTTTTTCAATGTAAATATAAAAAACATAAATGTTATTGTATTAGAAATGCGTGTGTTGTAGCACAGCATACAACCAACTTCAAATTCTATCTTATTTTCTTTGTAAAATAAATGTTTATAACCCCACGAGGTTCGACGGTTGGAAACCACCTCTCTGATTCCACCGTATCATGGTTATTTACAAAACAAGAAATTATACATGCATACAGTATTTAACACCAAGAACTAACGAATTAAGGCCTTGTAGTACTATAGTTTCCAATCCGATTTCCAAATTTTGTTTTAAAGCCTTACCGTTGGTGGACGGATCTTGCAAATACCCGACTTTTCTGCAATGGGCCTGATTTTCGCGATGTAGCCCAGCGGGTCTCGGAATTCGGCCCACGTAGGTTCGAACACTGGGCACTCTGGCGGCGGTAGGAAGTCGTCAGACCCGGGATCCATCCCGTGTTCAGATGCTAATTTGAAAAATGGTTTCCTCTTTCTTCGGTGGCATATGAATCCTTTGTCGCCGAAACCTGGGCCCTAGAGGGCCTTTATTTTCCTTTAACTTTTACCGTTCTTTTAATTCATGCGATTGCTCACGACTCTTCAGTTCTACAACCACCATCTTGACCCTGCAGCTTTTCCGGTTGCTTTACACTTCGTGTCGCTCCGCGGATGGATTCTTCAGGCGCTAAAGCATTTCGAAAACGGAGCTGTTCTATGTGGGCTAATAAAAGCTAGAGACACATAATGGAGTTCACTAAAACAAAACAAGCGCCATAAACCAGGCATTCCAGTAACATTAAACAGTTCTTCAACGGAAGAGGAGAGCACAATCACTAATAAAACCGCCGGATCTTTTTTTTTTTTTTTAAACACAACTGCGCATGTTACTCCTGCGCAGTAGACAGAAGATCGTACAAATCCTGTGACTGGTCAATCATTTACTTGTTTTTTATACAGAAAATTCCACATTTAGGAAACTTGCAAGCCCAGTCCGTTCCGTTCCTGTACCCTTCCAATCCACGACGACGTGACCACTCATCCCATAGCCCTTGAAACAGTCTCCAGAAATTTACTGGCTTTTCAGTTACTCACCTGGCTTTATCGTAACAGAGTTACAACTCTTTTACAATCCTAGAACTATTTGTAAAATACGAATTGTTTTTATTCGTGTACACTATCTCACTAATATACGCAGTTGGCATGCATACATTTTCTTACTGCATTTGTACGAACTAAAGATCTCATTCATTTATATCTAAACAGTGGGAGGGGCACTAAAAGCTTTTATAAAAAATGTCAAGTAAATGCATCCCCTAAAAATTAGAAACAATTCGATAAAAAACTAAGTGCATTACTACAAAGACCTACTCAAATAATTACGTAGTCCGTTTTGCAATTCCTAACTATCCATACAATCAAATAAAAGAACCGGGCTAGGAAAATAAGAAACAAAAAATCAAAAACCTAGTTGCCTTGTGGAAGAGCAGTCCCCTTATTGAACATACACAAACACTATGACAGCTACCAAACAAAACGTACCAAATACTAAAGTATCAAATAGAAATAAAATACCTGGTCCTATTTCTCAGAGAAATACCATATTCGTAAAAAAGAGTAAATTGTTGTGATCACAACCCCCAGGAAACTCTAATTTGGAATGACTAGGCAAACTACACCTTATTCCTTGTTATTACTACGTTGGTCTCTAAAAAGATGGAATCACTGCCCTGGTTATTTCTCAAATTACAATTAATTGTGAAGTGTTATCTCAAAAGCTGTTAGAGTTAGCTATGTACAATTTTTTTTCCCAATGTCTTACTTCTATGTTTATATGAGAAATTTGCTATAATTTCTTGTCTTCCAATTACTAAGATTAAGTTTTACACTGTGAAATATATTTTGCAGTATCTTCTTAATCTATGCGTTTGAAGGATTGCAAAGTAAGGAAGTACCCATTTGTTCCTTAAAATTTACTGTTGGGGTGGAGGAGGGAATTTACTCTTGGGAGCGCATGGGTGGCTCAGTGGGTTAAGCCTCTGCCTGTGGCTCAGGTCATGGTCTCAGGGTCCTGGGATCCCCGTTCTAGGTTCAGGGTCCCGGGAACCAGCCCTGCATTTGGCTCTCTGCTCAGTTGGTGGGAGCCTGCTTCCCCCCCTCTCTTCTCTGCCTGCCTCTCTGCCTACTTGTGATCTCTCTCTCTCTCTCTCTCTCTTTCTCTCTCTCAAATAAATAAATAAATAAAATCTTAAAAAAAAAAAAGTTACCCTTGAGTACCTGATGGCTCAGTAGTTAAGCTTCTGCCTTTGGCTCAGCTCAATGGGCTCTGCTCAGTGAGGACTCAGCTTCTCCCTCTCACTCTTCCTCTGTTCTCTCTCTCTAATAAATGGTAAGATTTTAATTAATTAATTAATTAATTAATAATTACTCTAAAAAATTAACTGTTATGCCCCATTTTGACAGTGGAAGAGAAATTTTTGCTTTTAGGTTTCTTGATGTGACTGAAATACTGTTTCATTTAACACTATTCTTGGTTATTTCTTTTTTCCAAAAGCTTATCCACTTGACCTAGGTTATCAGCACTATTAATTTATTAGGTTAAGTATATTATGTTTAAATGTTTATTTCATCATTTTCATCTTGTTTTTACCTTCTAGCATTTCATGTACATTTTTCTTTTATATTTCATAAAATCAGATTTGCCATGGATTACCTTATACTATTAATCTTTCATAGGCTTAGTTCTACTTCCCCCCCATAATCCTAGAATCACTTTTTATTAAACAGGTTTATTGAGATAGAATTCACAAAACATAATATTCTCATAATATTCTCCATCTTAAAGTATACAATTTTGTTTATTTACACAGTTGTTTAACTCTGACCACTGTCAAATTCCAGAACATTTTATTACTTCAGCAAGAAGCCCCATATACATAGGCAGTCACATCCCACTCCCTCACAAGCACTAATCAATTTTCTGTTACTATAGATTTCAATATTGGATATTTCCTAAAAATGGAATCATGAAGTATGTACCTGGCTTTTTCCTTTGTGTCTGGCTTCCTTACTTTCGCATAATGGTTTAAGATTCACCCATGTTGTAATATTTTTCAAAATTCCACAAGATTGGCTATGTTAAGCATTTGTAAGTGAATGTAAACATTTCATTTGAGGTGTGCAAATCATAATTTTATATTTAATGACAGGATAATATTCCATTGTATAAATATACCACATTTTTTTTATTCTTCAGTTTGTGAACATTTGAGTTGTTTCTACTTTTAACTATGAGTAATGTTACTATAAACATTTGTTTACAGATTTTTTACATGTGTATGTTTTATAATTGCTGGGTTATTTGGTAATTCTGTGTTTAAACTTCTCAGAAACTGCCAGTCTATTCTCCAAATTAACTCTATGAACCTAATTCACACCAGATGTGTAAAACATTCTGATTTTCACTTCTTTACAACACAATTGTTGTCTTACTGGTATGTTCATATGTTCATCTTACTGTTAATGTAGTATCTCATGCACTTTTGATTTGCATTTTCTGAATTACTAAAAATTATGAAAAATTTCATGTGCTTGTTGACCATTTGTAAGTCTTCTTTAGAGAAATATTTTTTCAAGCTGTTTGCTCATTTTAAAATTGGATTGTTTGCCTTTTTGTTGTTTAGTGGTGTTTTTTTTAAATAATCTAAATATTTTCTGCTGTAAGAGTATGAGTGATCTAGGGGCGCCTGGGTGGCTCAGTGTCTTAAGCCTCTGCCTTCCGCTTAAGTCATGGTCTGGAATTGAGTCCTACATGGGGCTCTCTGCTCAGTGGGGAGCCTGCTTCCCTCTCTCTTTGTCTGTCTCTCTGCCTACTTGTGATCTCTGTCAAATAAATAAATAAAATGTTTAAAAAAGAAAAGAGTGGGACACCTGGGTGACTCAGTTGGTTAAGCTGCTGCCTTCGACTCAGGTCATGATCCTAGCATCCTGGGATCGAGTCCCACGTCGGGCTCCTTGCTCAGCAGGAGCCTGCTTCTCCCTCTGCCTCTGCCTGCCACTCTGTCTGCCTGTGCTCACTCTGACAAATAAATAAATAAAATCTTAAAAAAAAAAAAAAGGAGTATGAGTGATCTACAAAAAGACAAAAAACAAAAAGCTTTTTCCAATTCTGTTGTCTTTTTGCCTCTCCAGTCATGGCCTTTGAAGTATAAATGTTTAATGTGATTACTGTCTGCTGTATTTTGTTTTTGTCACTTGGATTCTCAGTGATTTAAAAGGGAGAGGCTTTACTAACCCAGAGTCACATATATTCCCTTGTACTCTCTTCTGAAAGTTTTATAATTTCAGATTTTACATGAGAAGTCACCTTTATGTGTACTGTATTTTAGTGGCCCAACTGTATACCTTTTTGTGTGGGTATCCAGTTGTGACAACACAATTTCATGAAGATATAATTATGTCTTGATGGGTCTTGGCACCTTTGATGAAAGTTGATTTGCCTTCCATACATTTTTTCCCCAAATTAGTAATTCTATTTCATTAATTTATATGTGTATCCTAATACCAATACTACATTGTTTTGGTCACTGTAGTTTTGTTGTATGTTTTTAATCGGGAAAAGGGAGTTTTTCTTTTTTATTTTTTTCATTGCTTTTTTTAAAAGATTTTTATTTATTTTATTTGTCAGAGAGAGAGAGCATGCACAAGCAGGGAAGAGGCAGACAGAGGAAGAAGCAGGCTCCCCAGCGAGCGAAGGGCCTGATACAGGGCTTGATCCCCGGACCCTGGGATCATGACCAACTTAACCAACTGAGCCACTCAGGCATCCCAGGAAAGGTGAGTTTTTCAGTATTCATTTAGCTATTGTATGTCTATTGCATTTCCATATGAATTTTTTTATCAACTTGTATATTTTTCCAAAGAAGTCAGCTAAAGTTTAGATAGGAAATGTGTTGAATCTGTAGAGAAGTTTTGGGCATATTGCCCTTTTAACAATATTAAAGTTTTCTAATTCATGAGCAAAGGATGTCTTCTGATTTACTTAGACCTTCTTTAGTTTGTTTCAAAAAAGTTTTGTAATTTTAGGGGCTCTTAAGTGGCTTAGCCATTAAGCTTCTTCCTTCAGCTCCAGTCATGATCCCAAGGTCCTAGGATCAAGCCCCGCGTTGGGCTCCTGCTCACTGGAGAGCCTACTTCTCCTTCTCCCACTCCCCCTGCTTGTGTTCTCTCTCTCTCTCCCTGTCAAATAAGTAAAAATTTTTAAAAGATTTATCATTTTAAATGTACACATTTTATACTTCTTTTATTAATTTATTCCACATCATTTTATTTTATATGCTATTGTTAGTGGAATTTAAAACATTTCATTTTTTTATTGTTTATTGCTAGTGTATGGTAATTGATTTTCTGTGGGCACCTGGGTAGCTCAGTTGTTAAGCGTCTGCCTTCTGCTCAGGTCATGATTCCAGGTCCTGGGATCAAGTCCTGCATCAGGCTCCTTGCTCAGTAAAAAGCCTGCTTCTCCCTCTTGCTCTGCCTACTTGTGCTCTCTCTCTATCTCTCTGTCAAATGAACAAATAAAATCTTTAAAAAAAAAAAAAAAGGAAGAAGAAGAAGAAATATAATTGATTTTTCTGTATTGATCTTGTGCCTTGCTAGCTTCAGTTAGTGTCATACTAAATTCAGTTATTCTAATAATGTGTTTTCTTTTAAGATTTTACTTATTTATTTATTT